CACATATACGATCCATAACTGTATTAAACAAGTTTTACCTTATCTAGTTTATTATCCCATCGCATCATGCGATGAAATTTTCATGAGTGTACTTCACGAAACGAAGGCTGCCACGAGAATTCCAAACCGGTTTGCTGCTTTTGCGGCATTTACAGGGTTGCATTCGATTAAACCCTGTTTAAGCTGACTCTAGACGAAAGTTCCATAACGGACTAATAGTAATTTTTCAGATAATATCTATAAATTTCAGCTTCTCTTGACTAATTCATTTATCAAAAATTGCATAGCTCGGTCACTTTGCAAAGCGATCTGAGGAGCGAGACAAAAACCTTTGATTTCGAAGAATGTCTTTGATACAGTTTATAATTTGGTTAAAATTTGTTTTGTCAAAGACAAAGTGCTCCTATTTTTTCTTTATTAATCTATTACTAAGCATTGTTCTTTAATTATTTACGAACGGCTATTTATAAATAACTAGTTTTTATTATTTCGTCTTGACGCAACTTTGTTTAGGTTTGTGATTGATTAAATAATTTGTTGTTGTTCCTGTAATCATGTCCTACTTTTTCGATCACTAAACTGTGGTACGGTTCTCATTGGCAATTCACTCTGGTTCCACTTTATCTGTCCATAAGAAGCCTAACTTTTGGTACCTGACTTTCAGATTTTGTAAGCATTTTCGTAAATGATTTCACAGAGTTAAGTCTACTAGTACATAAATTCATTGTATGAAATTGAATAATTTATTTTGTACATGTTAAAGCTTAAGATCCCTTTTGGGAGAGGTGCTCCTTCTGTTGTTTCATTATGTGATGCATAAAACTAAATTCACACTCTTTGAGCCTGAGTGAAACCTTAATTGTGCTTGAAATATTTTATAGGAGAAGATGCTCATTTACCATCAGAGTCTGCAAAGATTGGGACTGAAGAAGACTGTTTGAGCATCATTGAAGATGTGCATTCTTTACCAGCCAAGGCTGATGAACGGAAGAAGCCTGCAAAAAGAATTAGTAATGATGATGTTCTCAAAAAGCAGTATGAATGCCTGTGTACTCAGAAGGAAACTCTGATTCTTAAAAAACAGATTGAAATTGAAATTGCAAATTAATCTTTTGGAGCAACAGGTGAATGCCAACAAAACCTTCGGAACTGCATTAAATGCAAATTTTGTGGTTGCTGACACTGATTCATTTTAAATGAGGATTATTGTAAAAAGTCCTCCAAAAGAATTATTTTGGGCAAATGTTCTTCTTGTATAATTTATAATGAAAAATAAACAATGTATTCTGTTCTTAAAATGTATTTTGATGCAATAAAACAGATTCTTGAGTCAAAATTATTTTAATGTTTTTATTACTGGGCAAGACTATCTCACCAGTTTCGTTTGCTAAGGATCTCGGGGTATATGTTGATCAGTATCTCAACTATGATGTGCATATTACTAAAACAGCCTTTAGTGGCATGAACCAGTTAGTACAGATAAGACGAATTAAGCACCTCTTAGATAAGAAAACACTTTTATTACTTATAAATAGCGTTGTTTTTAGTAAACTATTTTATTGTTCCTCAGTGTGGGGGAACACATCTAAGCGTAATCTACAAAAACTACATTTGGTACAAAATTTTGCTGCCAGAGTTGTATTAGGTTTAAGGAATTTTGACCATATGTCTCAGGGGCGGAGATCTCTTAGATGGTTAGATGTTACAGAAAAGGTTTTATTTGATGATTTAGTTTTAGCATATAAAGGTGTAAATGGTTTAGCTCCAGACTATTTACGTAAATATTTTGTTAAGCGTTCAGCGGTTCACAATAGGAACACAAGGGGATGTAATGATTTTGTGATCCCCCGATGTAGATTGTCGATGGGACAAAGGGCATTTTATTTTCGCGGCCCACGGGAATGGAATGGTCTACCTGACAACATTAGGAATACTAAAGATATTGATATTTTTAAGCGGAAACTTTTTAATAATATGTTCTATATGTAGTAAATTTGGATATAATTTGAATGATTTTAAATACATTTGAATTTAATTAAATTACAGTAAATAAGTTGGTTAACATTGTGACCGAAAAGCCCTGTTGAAGGGAGTCTCAATAAAGTATATATGTATGTATTTTCAACCAGAAACCCCTTAAATTTATCTGTGAATTTTTATATTTTATGGGGAGTTAAATTACAAGCAAAATTGATTGCATTAGGCAGAAATACAAAAATTAAAATTTTTCAGATAAAGGTGTTGCAGATGTGGTCTCGGATGACCTTGTCATCCTCTGGACCATGGAAGCAAACAAGATTAGGTTGATCATCACAAGCTCCAATGATGATGGATACTTTTTCTGGCTTCATTCTGATCTCAGAATGAAGTAAATGGAACCTTCGCTTCCACCAGCCAAAGGCTTGTTCTATTGCCTCTCTTGTTCTTTTGTGGGCACTGTTGAACTCTTGCTGCTTGTCTGTGACTGGATTCAGGTAAGGGGTCATCAGGTAAAGCTTACAAGGGTAACCACTGTCACCTAATAGGAACCATCTTCCAGGGACTGGTGTTGGTTATTAAGTTGTTGTCAAATTCTTGAATGCCTAAATATGAAGCTGTCATGGGTGCTGCCCGACCATCGTGCTACAATGTTAGTAAACACGCCTAAAATGAAACAGCAAATAAGTAATTTGACCATTTAATTTCTTACCTATGATGTAGAAAATCTCATCTCAGTTTATTACAACAATGTACTGCAAAGAGAAACCACAGTAATTGTGTCTATGATAAACTGGGGTAACTGATTCAAATATTTAATTTACTTGCAGAACCTTTTCATTATTTATTTAATATGTGTTTTGAAAATTGGGGGGCTGCATCACTTTGAAATCTCTGCTGATTGCTGCACTCTGTTGGCCATTAGCTGTGCAATAATTATGTTCACAAACATCTCACATTTTTTCTTCTTTTTTTCCTTGTTTTTTCTTTTTTATACTGTTTTTAAAATATTGGTGTAATAATCTTGGTTAATTTTCCATGTGTTTTTGCAAACCAAACTTTACCCATACCATTTGAATCAAATGATTTCATTTATTTTTGTTTTAAAAAAGGTTGTCAATCGGGAACAGAATGTATGTTAACTGAAATGTTTAACAATATATTGACTCATCTTCTCCCTTTTATACCCTTAATTCCTAATAAAAAAAAAATTATCACTACTCCCACATCCGGAATAGGTGAAACTACAATCTAGTAACTCCCATCAATGCAACCCCGTAGCAGCTGCTTTGTTAGAAATCTCAATCTAAAAAACCTCTCAGGGGAGTTCCCCTCCCTGTCAAAGGTTATTTTACAATTTTTATGGAACACTAACTATGATGATATTTTAGTATGTTACTAACCTTTGTGATTGCAAATTGCTTGCGCATTTATGGAATGAAACCCTTTACGATTGACAAAATCGTTTTCGTTTTGATGTGGTGCCTGAATTTTGATGTGAGTGCCGTCAACACAACCAATCACCCCAGGAAAACCTCCTCGGTGAAAAAACCGCGTTTGTTTGAAATATCTCTTCTTCGGTCGATGGCCACTTGATGAAGTTTCCTTGGTCCTGTGCAAGGGCAAGGGAAACTTGGCTGATAATTCGGGACACGGTTGATTTTTACAAGCCCAGAGTATCTCCAATAACTTAAAGAAAGCTTCCGAAGACGAAAAAGCGCAACGCTGTAAGGACTTGCACAGTTGTTGACAAGGCATGGTTTCGAGATGTATCTCTTTCGAGATCCTCACGAAGGAGCTCAGACAAAAACTCTGTGGACTCTCGACCAAAACGATATCGACTTCTCGATTCTTGATCTGTGAAATGGTCCAGGGAAAAGTCGTCTGGAAGCCAAAATGTCCTTTCTTTCCTTCTTGGGGCCGGCATTAAGCCTAATCCGCCAAGCAATAAGTCGACCATTTTGTTTTGTTTGGGGAAAGTTTACCCTCGATTAGTGAGTTAATCCACCTCGCTAGGTGTGTTTAAATTAACCTTTATTTTAGCCCAGGGATAGTGCTAATCGCGCTTTCAGGAACAGAAACTAATCATGGGTTAAATTTTAATCTTGGGTTAGGGTGATTTAATCGAGGGTTAGCGCTAATCGGCTTTCGAACAACCGGGGCCCGTTGAACAACGCAACTAACCTCCGCTTAAAATTTAACCCAGGGTTAGGCCGATTTAACCCTGGACTTAGACTTAACTCTCTTTTGAACAACCGGGCCCTGGTGCCAAATAAACATGTGTTTGCGCCAAAGTTCCTGCAATCTTGCTCACAGTCTTAGAAACGGCAACGTCAGTAATCTTCACTGTTTTTGTTGCTGACAGATTTTACAGTGAAGGAAAATGAAAAAGATAAGTAAAAACCGCAATAAAATTATCTCGTGACATGACGTGGTCATCACATTAGAAAATAATTTTTCAGAGAATTCTGTCGGAAGACATGTCACTGAAACTCAAGAGAAGGAATGAATGTTTTTACCATAATTGAAATTAAGTGACTAAACCTTAGATCAAAATATAGCCCAATGCTGGCCAAACTAGTATTTTTTTTCTTTTTTTTTTCGCGTTTTGTGCACCAAAAAGATGTCGAGGCCTAGAAGAAGAAGAACTTGTTTCTTTGATAGGAACAATCTTGACATAAAAAAACTGATCATAATTAATTTTAAAGCTACCAAAAAACGGCTTATTAAATTACATAATAATTTGGATATATCAACAAAGTTGAAATGGTAAATTGGCCACCGAAACGATTACAAAAGCTGACGTTTCGAGCGTTAGCCCCTTGTCATTCGCTCCGACGAAGGGCTAACGCTCGAAACGTCAGCTTTTGTAATCGTTACGGTGGCCGATTTACCATTTCAACTTTGTTGATATATCCAAACTATTTCGTTACCCCCACCGACGCAGCCCCAAACAGTTTCTTTAGAAACTATCAGCCTTTATTAAATTACACACATTTTACCATTCTTAGACACCACATGCATTATGTATGATTGTAATTCCCTTTCGCCTCTGTCAAACTGAAATGATTTATGCTTTTCCGTGGAAAAGCATAAAAGCATACAAGAATTATCCTACTTTTAAGACTTTTTTCTAGGTTCCATACTAAGACATTGTCCAACTTGAGATCTCTGTGAACAACGTTCTGATTATGAATGAACGACAGGGCAGCAGTTATCTTTTTTATCCACTCACATGCGTCTCTTTTAGCATCGGCATTCTTGGACTTGGCAGGGGTTATTTCTGGATTTTTTAAGATGTGATCCTTTAAATTTCCCATGCAGTATTCCATGATTAGTATTATCCGGGTTTGACCATCATCCTTCATAAACGACATGCCATGAAAAGTTACAACGTTTGGATGGTTTAGTTTTCTGATGAGTAAAAGCACAAAATTATCAGTTCTCGAAAGGTGATAAGACTGAAAAGACATATGTACCCATGCAGGATTTCAACAATTAAAAAAACCGGAGTCCTGAAGACATACCTCGATTCCTCTAGCTACTTTGCTTAGATGTATTTCCCTATTTGTACCCATCGTCCACTCTACACCTCGGAAAGTTGATCTTGCTTTAAACATGTAGTGCTAGTATTGCAAGAGTAAACAGAAGGCTCAGTGGCCGATCTTTTTAGGTTACCTAACATGTGCGCATAATGTTGCTAACTGGAGCGGAAAGTACTTCATCACAAATTTTCTCCACCAGTGTTTCGCCTGGTTTTCCCGACCGTTTTCTGTTATACAATGTAAACTTCTTAGTGCAAAACCTCTCGATGGGAAGGGGCAGCGTGCCATTCATAAGTTCAACCGGTCATAATCTTATACAAGCGCGTCTAAAGTAATGAAAATTTGGTGAAATTTAAATAACGTACTTTAAAAGTTCGAATTTATTCACAATGTCGCTAACATTTTCTGCTGTAAGTGACTCGGCGTAAATTTTCAATGCCACAGTTTGTTCGTCTCCATTCTTAGTTTTCATCATTCCTCTGTAAACAGAGGAAAAAGCACCCCGACCCAGAAAGTCAGACAGGCCTTCTAAGTCTCGTGCGTCTCTACTGATACCGGCTTCAAGGCCCTCTTCCAACCCAAAAACGGCCAGACGACCTCTGATCTTAGAGGCTCTATCTATCATTGGTTGATATATTTCTTTTATCTCTTTTGCGGAACATTTTTCCTCCCGAAGTTGTTTACATCACAGTTTGTCGGCCTTAATTAGCTTTGGAATGCGGGCCTTAATTTCCTTGAGAAATGTGATGGCGTCTTTTAGTTGCTCCCTCACGAATGTAATAATCTAAGGACCCTTTGTGACATCATTCAAGGAATCTACATACGCTTCTTTCATAAAAGCACATTTGTCTTCTTCGTATTTCAAGATTTTGTTTCTGTTTTCCAACATGCTCTTAACCGCCATTACGCCAACCGCAGGGGCACCGAACACCAATGCAATTAGGCTTAGTAGAACCCAGATGGGGCTTGTGATACCAATGGCAATCTTCTCTGTCGTGGTAAATGTGAGGCCCGCTTCAACAGGATGATCATCCATCCTCCAATCCAATCGTCAGACATCACAGTTCCCTGTAGATACCAGAGTTTCTCCTCAAAGGAATTGTACTGCTCCAGGAAGTGTTGTACAAGGGAGTCGTAAGTACTTGCCGACAAGTGATTGTCCTCTTCCTAGTTATCTATTATATCTTGCAAGCGTCTTTGCATTGCTTTTGTGATGTTGCTTTTTGTCACTTCCCAGGATGCTTCTGCCTTTGGAACCTCATCCAAGGACCATGAAGTAAAGCATATCTTACCTCATCCGATCTAAGATATTTGGATAGATTCTCTACCATGTCATGTAAGCGACCGTTCAACTAATTCTAGAGATCTTCCATAACCTCGGTTTGTTTTGCTGTTATTTGTATCAAACGGTGCAGAACAAAATTCATCTTTTTCATTACATCTTCTTGATCTCTTGAAGCGTTCTTTACATTAGCCATGGCGTGATAAACTATTTGGGAAAAAAAGGCCAAATAGCCATCTAAATCAGTCACATATTAATCAATTCGAGAGTTTCTTGTTCACAGATGTTTATCCGAAGTCATAAGAGCTGAGTATAAGCCAGTTTTCTAATAGTTAAACTTGCAAGAGTATGCAAGTAAGGAAACTGGAGATTAACAAAACCTCTTAAAGGAACTTTGATTTACGTTTATTTCCTTTAATAGTCTAATTCAACCCACGGATGCTTTTATCCATGGGTTTTTATAATCTTGTAATTGAACTAAGTGGAATGCAATTTGGTCTGAGATCAATTGTGTGATTTCAAAATAAAACGATTGCGCAGCGCAAGTTTAATTTGATTTTATATCACAAGTATGATACCGGACCACAATTGCACGACAAGAAGTTCAATTGCTACTACATCACATCTATTTTGAGGTCACAAATTTTAGTCGCTCGATTTAGTTTTTTTCAGTTTTCACTAATATTTTATAGATCCACTACATTGAGCTGATTTGTAGAAATTTGGAAAAGCTGTCTCTCTTTTTCCTGCGACTTTATTGATTTCTTTTAAAAAAGGCTTTAGATTTGATTGGTTGTTGTGTTTTAGTGAAGCTCTCTCAGAGTCTTGGAAAAAGATACGGTTTAGAGCATAACATGGTGCGATTTGTGCATCGATCGCACTGGTGACAACCAATCAGATTGCAAGGATCACAAGGGATTTCAAAATAAATGTAATAAGGCTCCAGATTCACAATTAATTAGTTTCATATAAAAAAAAATGCATGATTGTACGTTCCCCTTCTTAACTTTTTATCATTTAATACTCTCATCATCGGTCAAGTTTTATTATACCTGCTTTGAGCAATAACATTGTTCTAACAGACGATTTAAAAAAGTTAAACGCCCACTTCCAACAGATTTCAAGCCTGGCTTTGATGCCTCTCAGAATCATGGATCTCATGCAGCTCATTAGAATAAAAAAATCTTCTGTTAAGATCCCGTAGTTTTGAGTGATGCTGGCATTCGTCGTTGACATTTGGACAATCTGGTTTTCTGAAACAATGTCAGGGTGTAACTCTTTAAGTTGTCTGATGACATGATTCTCCACGTCTGTAACCTCATTTTCTGGAACCTGGTCCCACCTGTTTCACACGAACAAGACACAGGCAGATGAAAACTCTTCTTCCTTGCGTTTTTCTTTGATGCCTTTCAACTACTTTCCAAGCTGTGATAAACAAGTAAAAAGATTGAATATAGAGATCATTTATGTGTACTGCAGTATAGGGGCGTAGCCAGGATTTTTCAAAGGGGGGGGGGAATCACAGAGGCTACTCACCATTTACACCGCTGCTCTCCCGCGTGTATCAGTCGTATTATCGCGGCATAAAGGCCCATTTCAATGGCTTTTATGGCCAAGATATTGTCAAGGCGTTTTCGCCAGCTGAATATTGTTGGTTGTTTGCTCTAGAGAAGACCGACCAAGGCGGGGTCACGGGCACCACAGGAACACCCCCCCCCCTGGCTACGCCCTTGCAGTAATAAGAAATGTATTAAAGTGATACTAGCAGTGATGGACACTAATTATGTTGTAGTAGTGAAAAAAAGACCTGGAAAAAAATACGGCCCAAACGGGATTTGAATCCATGACCTCTGCGATACAAGCTTCTTCCCTCAGTAGGTAGAGAGGTGCACTGCTATCAGAGCCCATGGGCTCAAATCTTACCGTCGTACCAGAGGATACCAAAAGGTAAACTTTCCATACAGCGAACAGTGAGCTGTTCGTAAACATTTTATTATTTATTTTGTAAAAATTGGAGGAATTAAAAAACCTTGGACATTTTCTGTTAGTCAAAGCTCAGTACCATACCTCAGCTTTCCTTTCTCTTGATTTCGCTTCATTCTTTACTTAGTCAAAAGCTCCTCGAAAAATCTTTAGCATAACGCGCTGAAAATCAAATAAGTAAGTGCATAATTCGGAATGGCAAAATATTAGTGGCTATTACAGAAGCAGTTTCGCTCTCAAATTACTGTCACACTCTGTCTCTCTGAACTCGTACAGCGTTCGCGCTGTTAATAAGATATACAAATGCAAAGGCTTCAGGTACACACTCCGTCACTATTTGTTCCATGATGTCAGATTCACCAACACCAAGACTGTCGACAATAAGAACTCCATTCTGAAAAAATGCCAGCGTTGGTCAGAAAATTCTCAAGTAACAAAACATTACGTACATTTACGCTTTTGACGCACGCAAGAATCGTGGAAACTGTAAGGGAAAGTGGGAGGAGAGGGCACTTTCCTAATATCTTTTTTTTTTTATCTTAACCCTAATGATTACATTACAACAATTGCATACGACAAAAATTAAATGATTCTTCTTTAAATAAAGCAATAACCTTGTTACCTTCAAAAGTAGGTGAGGCCAATAGAGTTCAACCTCCTTGTAAATTGAGCCTTTTTCTCGGTCGCTCTTCAAATGGCCATATGGAGAGATCTCCTCAAGACAGCTTTTTCCAGATACTCCTGATGGAGGCTCTACTAGTGGAGAGGATTTTCGCCATCAAGCCTGTTACTCGATCCTTGTCCTTAAAGTGGGCAACATTTCTTAGATCTTCATCATACCTCAACTCACAAATGGTTGAAGTGGTGCTTAGTAAGGAATAAGGAAGTAGCTTCTTTCCGAGAATGAGGTTCACCAGACTTCTTTTTCCAGAACAAGTCTCACATTTAAAATTGAAGCGATACGAAAGTATGACTGAGAGCGTATCACCAGGAAAACGTCAACATGTTCTCAAGCTTAAATTCACTATAATACTGAAATGTTATCTGACCATGAATTCGCTGATATCATGAATATTCAAGAGACATGTTAGGAGGAAGACTGGGTTCAGCATAATAGCATTTAAGCTCCATGATTGTCTCTACTGCCTGTTTTTCCTAGATATTGTTTTAATATTCTCATCATTATGGCCTGTATCAACGTAGGTAAGTGTTAAATATCCTATGGAGTTAATTTACTTTAAAATGTCCAAGAAAAATGTTATTTTTAAGACCTTCTTACCTCCTGATATCTTAGTGGTGAGCTCTCGCCGCCATGAAAGTGGGCAGTTGATTACAATTTCAATATCCCTGCTTCATAAGCTTTCGTGCAATAATTCAGTTCCATGGTCTAACTCAATAACTGGGCTGATGTTTCCAACGTGCATTTCTTCTGAATAAAGCCTAGATTAATAAGCTTAAGCTTACTGTATTAGCATTAGCCGCGCGCTGAAACTCGAGCACGACCTTCTATTGTCAATTGAAATAGGCATTCGCGTGAGCTTCCTAGGGACAGCAAAACGACAGGCGACATTATTCCACCGCAAAAATTTTGCCAGGACAAAAAGCCAAATATTTAAGGAGCATTGCTTAAAATACTGAAAAAAATTATTGCTGACCAAGTAGCATGTATTGAGTGGGAGTAACATCATTTTCCAAACAAAGCACTTATCGTAAACGAATTTTGCCTCATCCAAGTGAGTTAAATATTAAATCAACATCATTGAATTAGACTTACAAAGCTAAGGTATGATAAGAAATTTGAATTTGAATTTCTTTCAAATCCGATTATACCATATTCTTTTTCCACATTGCAACGTATTGAAACGCCGCATCATAGCTTGCAGTGCAGGAATCATATTAGGGTGAGTTAATGTTAAGGAGCACAGGATTGCTTATTCAACCTGCCATGTTTATTTAGAGTTGGAGTTGACTGTAGGGAGAGGCGATTGGAAGGGGCAAAAATGATGCTTGCCCAATTCAAAGAGGCTGTTAAAACACCCTGGATTAGTTGCCCCTCACAGCTTTTCTGGAAATGAGCAGTTCCCCAATCAAAATTAGTTACCGGTAATTTCAAAAATGGGATGCCCTGTCTTCCGTCAAAAACAAATACACATAGAGCCAAGTAGTGAAATGGTTTGGCCAGGAAAGAAGTAGCTTAATTCTATCAACCTTTAAAAATCCTCCTCTGCAGTCACAGTTATGAGCTGGTATTTGCTACACTTTATATGTCCTAAATGACAATCCTTGAGTGATTCAAAGAAGGTTGTTCTCTTTGAATGTGAATAGCTTCTTTTATCTTGAGTTGGAAACTCGTAGAGGCGTGATCTCTTGAACTAAGATATGGAAACAATCTACTGAACACAAGGCGCGACTATGTTCAGAATTCTGTAGATGTTTGAAAACGTGCACTAAGTGCTCACTCAGGCGTGTGGGAAAATGCCGGGCCGTTTCGCGTACACAACAGGGAGAAAAAAGAGAACAACCTTCTTTAAATCAATAGTTACATCATGTAAATCTAAAGCTATCCTTGTAATTTTCACATTGTCACGTTTTCTGTTGTTACCAGCTTAATTAGCATGTACTTATAAATTCAACTTGTAACGCTTTGTTAATCAACTGAAGATGACAGAGGTTTCTGTCGAAACATGTCTTTTAAACTCAAAAGTTTTGTCGTTTTCTTTAAATTTCTGACTTGCCTGCTGACATCAAGATCGTTTGGATACTTTGTTTGC